GCCGGCTTTGCGCTCGCTTTAGTTCTGATCAAGCTCCGTCGCCAAATTCTCTCAGCTTTTACTCAAAGTTGGCAGCCCTGCGACGGGTAAGGCATTTTACCACTTGCCTTCTGGACCAATTAGAAACACGATCAGTTTGATTCCTAGTCTTGGCCCAAGGCGCTAGTGATCGATAGTGGACGGTGGTGCGCCCTCTAATGGCACAACAATTGGACCAGCGGGCCTACTCGCACTAACATCTTGGCCATTTTGTATCAGCGGTTTAACTTTTTCTTCATTTTCTCCTTAGGCTTTCCTAGGGAACCAATCAGCGATCAAGGAATGGTTGAATGGCTCGTCCAATGGTTGTAAACATACGGGGGATATATGTGCCGTGATCCAGCATCATCGCTTTCCTAGGGAACCAATCAGCGATCGAGAAAATATGGTTCAATGGCTTGCCCGATAGTACGGGCTAGGCTATACATGTACACATGTACTTGCGGCGACCCAGCATCATTCGCTTTCCTAGGGAACCAATCAGCGATCGAGAAATTGCAACGGCTCGCCGGTGGTTGTAAACACTTGCGACGCAGTGACACCCCCGGCCCGTGTGAGGGCGCGACCACTGCGGCAAATACATGTAGGAACTGCCGTTTTGTTCGAATTTATACAGACGGTCCTATTTACACAAAATGGCCATGCCCCCAGAGCTATAAAATGACCAAGACGTTAGTAAGAGAATGTAAAAATTAGATTAGCTACCATGGAACATTTTTGAAAAAAAAAAGATCGACGCACATGATTAAAATCAACGCGCGCGCTGACCAGAGACGGCCTTAAACTGACTTTTTTAAGGTTTTGGGTTCGAAAATGCTATAAAAACCAAGAAAAACAATCATTTTCCTGTAGTCTGGTTCCCTGACTCCATTAAGAAGAAACAGAGCAGTTTACATACATTAGGGAATTGTAAGGTCAGGGAACCAGTCTAGCTGGCTTGTACCCGTTCATAGATGTGTAATCGATTGCAAACAAGTGCGATGGTCAATTGGGGCCAGTATTTGAAAAAAGCCAGTTTTTTTCCAACGCGTTGGAAAAAATACCACTTTTCTTGAAAATGACAATATACCAGGTGCCATGGTTTTACAGGATGCTTTACACAGTACAGCAAGGTACATGTATTTCAAAATGATTTGGTAGTTTTATTTTTTGATGTTTGAAAATGTTATATTTTCCCTATAAAACACAGTTGTGTACTACTGTACTGTACATACATGTAAACACAATGAGGAATCAACAACTTGTTTTCATGCAAGATATATGCAAATTATTACGCCATCTGGTAACAAGATGTACGCATATGAGGTGAAAAAAACACGTACATGGAGATAAAAGATAACCAAAAATCAGAAAGACAAATAAACAGACAAAACAATATTTTATGAGTCAGTATAGAAGAATCCAGTTGCAGTTGTTCTTTGAAATACCACACGGTCAATGGGAAAATGAAACTGAACTAATCGCTCGATCAAAAACAAACAGGATGTTTGTACACGTATGTAGTTCGGAGTTTACGAGAGTCTGAAGTGTTGACGAAAAATGCTTGCTTACATGTGTATTTAGGTTAATGTTTATCGTTTTGTGTCACCGTCCATAAAATGAAAATATAAATATTCCTGTGTTCACTATTAAACCTGATATAAAATAAAAGCATTAAAAAACGGTGATAGCATTTTTCAGACTTGCAGACTTGCGGACTTGCAAACATTGTATACATGTATAAACAGGAATATTAATTCATTCTGTTCATCCAATCAACATTTACAAAGCATTAAAAAACTGCAATAACATTATTCTTAACCCTAACTCTCTAGGCCTTCTTTGCTAGGATGTACCAGGGTACATGTACTCTCAATCCTGCAATATTTTTTGAATATGGTCCGTGGAGGGGTGACCACTGCCTGAATCCTGCAAAATGCTGCGGCATGGCAGTGACTGTCAAAAATTATTTTGAGGCTTGGCTAGTGACATCCTGGAGCAGTACGGAGAATTTCAAGCATAATCCAGACCTTTATTTATGCATGGCTGAGCAAAAACAACACAAGGTTCGGCCCAAGTCCTTTAACGAAAGGCATCCTATGAAATCAGTAACGCACTTTTGCCGTGTAATGTAACCTAAAGCCTCAAATTCCTCCACTTTGACAAAGAGGATTTTTTCCTAGTACTTCCTCAGGACTTCCCTGCTAAATCCAACAGAGTCCAACCAGACTTTCCTGTTCAATCCACTGTGCCTCACTTTCAGTTGTCTGCTGACTCCAATGGAGTCCAACAGTGCGTTATAATGCGGTTCAGTTGCCTGCTGAATCCAACATTTTGCATGAGGAATGTACACAAGGGGTTAACTGCTCAATCCAACAGGCTCCATCGGGTATGTGACATAGTTGGATCCTGTTGGATTCAGCAGGGTTACGGTATGTATGTCAAGCGTAGATTTCCTTTTTACAAATTTCAATAGTCCACCGTACATATACCTGCAGGGTGGGGTGATCGTGTAGTGTAGGGCCCTCTTTACCGTACATGTACATGTGCACATGTATTTGTACATTGTACATGTAGTTATGATCAAATTAGGCCCAAAAAAAATAATAGTTCTGCTTCCGATTTCCCTACCTAACCTATTCTGACAGCCCTTACCCTATTTTTTTTATGGAAAAAATAAGGAAAAAAACACCCAAAACCATCAATTTCTACCTTTTACCCTTGACTACACGCAGACGCCTCCATATGATCATACACAAAAAAAATTGGCAAAAATAAATTATTTCCCTACCTACCTACCCTATTTTCAAATCCCATGAAATCGGAAGCAGAACTATTTTTTTTTGGCCTTAGACTTAGAGTCAAGAGTGTTTTTATCGTTCCAAAATGATGTTTTCAACATAAAACAGATTTTTCTCAATTCTAATGGAGTAGCCTAATGACAACTTTTTTTGTCATTTTGAACACTCTCTGACTTGGGATAGAAATTGTGATTTTTGTACGCGTTTAATACCATTGGTGTCACGCGACTCGGCGCGGTATTGTGTGTTCCCGATACATCGCAGTGATCGCCATCTTTATTTTCGTGGTGCGTTTGTTGTTGTCGTCATCATTTTACCCTCACATTTCTCTAAAAAATTCAAACCCTTTCCTCTATTTGATAATGTAAATTAAATTGGATAAGTTAGACGAAATATATAGGCCTAACAAACAAAACAATGACACTGTACAGGGTTGAGAAGATGGAGAAAGAATTCAACAGACATATTTATTTGTAAACAATCACAATACAATTAAAAAGAAAGGTTTGTGAATGTTGAATTTTCAGCGAGTCTCTAGTCACTTGTCAAATGTCACAGTCACACACAGTAATTTTGAAAATTTTGAGTAGGCCCCTGGCCCTAGGCCTTTATTTATTTTTATTTTACAGCCAAGACCCAGGCTACTTCTGAAGCCTTCTGATTTCAGAAGTAGACCCAGTCTTATTTTTTTCATTAACAATGAAGGTAATCAATCAACCTTCACTGGGTTTACATTGTTCGAAACTGGGGCACATAACCGGCTAGCCCCACTAGTGTGGCCGTCGGTATGCTGCGCTGAACCTCTAGCCACACACCGTGGTACCGCGCGCTACTGAGGACAAAGTTTCATAAAATCTGCGGTCCGTTTCTTACATTCTTAGTTTCTTACTTTCTTATGGTTGTATTCTATGATGTTTCACCTATCACTTCTGGGATGCTTAGGTCTAATGATGTTCCATTTTCCGAGATATTCTTCAATCTTTCTGGAGCCCATATGCACTCGTGAAACGTCTGGTGATGGCAGCCATTTTGAATGGGACAAGAGATGACCTCAAGCTGTGACGTCGCGTTTATGCAAATTGCTTGTCGAGCGCGCGATCGAGGGCGCGAGTTGCAAATGCGACGGCTGTTTCCTGTACCATGTATTTATCGTCAGGGGGCCACGTGCACCGATCTCTATTCAGGATCTACGGCACAGGAAACAGCCGTCGCATTTGCAACTCGCGCCCTCGCGCGCTCGACAAGCAATTTGCATAAACGCGACGTCACAGCTTGAGGTCATCTCTTGTCCCATTCAAAATGGCTGCCATCACCAGACGTTTCACGAGTGCATATGGGCTCCAGAAAGATTGAAGAATATCTCGGAAAATGGAACATCATTAGACCTAAGCATCCCAGAAGTGATAGGTGAAACATCATAGAATACAACCATAAGAAAGTAAGAAACTGAGAATGTAAGAAACGGACCGCAGATTTTATGAACGAAGTGGCTATCGTTACGGCACTCGTTGTTTAGCGCCCTCTACGATATTTTTTTGATACGCACGCAGGTATATAATTATTTGTTTCCCCACGTTTTATCGAGCAGTGCGCCAGCTCAGCCGATAGAGGGTAGGATTTTGCACCGCGAGGTTGCGGGTTCGAATCTCAGTTTTGCACTCGAATTTGTTTCCTTTTCTAACCTGAGGCTTTGGAGGATTTTTTTAAAAGGGAAATAAAGTCCGAATTTCATAAAGTTCAAATTCACTTTTTTCCTTCTAATTTTATATTTTCTTGTCATGTTTTTTTATAAAAGTTGCCAGGTTGCAGTCTACCGTAACGATAGAAAATGGGAAATGCGTTACGGCTGCCGTAACAATAGCCACTGCCTTTTATGAAACTTCGTCCTCAGTAGCGCGCGGTACCACGGTGTGTGGCTAGAGGTTCAGCGCAGCATACCGACGGCCACACTAGTGGGGCTAATAACCGGCAATAGGCGGTTTTATTCTTTCCAAATTTCTACCTAAATCTTTCCAAAATCAAGGCCGAAATCCGACACCTGCGCCTATGTCACTTTCATTTGGTAGGAAATCCCCAATTGGGCCCAAACGCTGAACCACTTGATATTTTACGAAACTAAAGTACGGAATTAAAAGGAGTTAAAAAGCTCAAATACAGAGGAACAATTGAACAGTTACTCACCACCAAAGCAATATACTGCCGTCTACAAAAGTGTGAAGAACTCAAGAAAATCGTAAATTTTGGCCGTCGAATTCGCTTTCTGCGCGAGTGGTGATGATGTCATTGTGTTTGTCATCACTTTATAGAAAACTGCTGGTACTTGTCGCGTACACATACGCTAAAGCACGGAGCATTCGATTACCAGCATAATGGTCTGGTACTTCATCGCATCGAATAAGCTGTATATAATAAAACTGACTTGGGCTCAGACTAGGATCAGACTGGCTAGTTATTGCGAAATCAAAGGTAATAAATTTCGTCTTTGGCTACGGCCGGCCGGCTAGGCAACACACGATTTTTTTTCGTGCGTAGCCTAGCCGTAGCCAAAGACACAATTTATGTTGAAGGTGGCGCTGTCATTTTTTAACGCTCTCAAATAAAAGTGACAAATAAAGGGATGGATTCTGTATTCCGTCAGCGCAGACTTTTTCCTCCCATTTTTCTTCAGTTAAGATTTCCGTGATGGGAAAATGTGTGCCCTAAAGTTGTCTAGTGAATTACTCTAAAGTTAGAATCTATGATGGAGGGACTGGAACAAGTCTATTAGTTATCCACCCCAGGCGTTGTGTAGGGCGCCCTCACTGAGGTCAGGTCTTGGTAGTCTGGCTACCAGACCGAAAGATTCTGACTATTTCTGTCCAATCTTAAGGTCAGATTTTATGGTCAGAATCTTTTGTCAGCATGTTGAATAAAAAAGTAACAAAACCTATTCTCGACATTTGCGTGTGAACCCCCAACGCCCCCCCCCCCCCCAGCCAGCCCCTCCCCTCAGTCAGCCCCTCCCCCAGCACCACCCACCCCACCCCCACCCCACCCCACCTTCTTTGGGTAACCGAGGACTAAACAAAAAGTTTTCCACACAGAGACCACATTTTTTTTTTAGTATAAAAGGCCTTGCTTTTATTAATCAATTTAAAATTCCAATCAATTCAAGAATTAATACTGAGAAAAAAAAACACTGGATCCAAATAATTTTTGGACTAAAACAGAAAAACTAAACACCTTTTGTGAAGCTCTTTTGTACTTTTAAAACGCATATTCTGTGACATTACATGGAAAACAATGTAAACAGTTTCAAAACCTAAAAAGGCCGCTCTCGTAACAAATGCCATGATTACTGAATGAAAGTAATACCAACTGACTAGAAACTCAATTTTTTGAAGAAAAAAACTTGTCACTGAAGAAATAATGATTTCAATGGAACAACATCTCTTGAAGTATAGAGAATTAAAATTTAATGCATGGATTAGTGTATGTCAAAATAAAATACACGATTTATTTGGTGTTTGTGCATTCTTAAAATGAGACAGAATTTTTAATTTGAAATCTATAAGCAGAATTTAGAAAACATAACTTGCATCTTTTGTTGTTTTGCTAGTTTTGCAGCCTATAGGTATGCGCGGGCATCCCAGATTTTTTTTTTACATTGGCTCGTCTAGCTCCCAGACCTATGTTCTTGAAACTCAATGGTTCTCGCGTCTGGAGTGCTGAATGGTAACGCATAGCAACTGATGAAAACTGGTGCGCAATGAATACATGTTTTCATCGGATGACATCACTCCGCCCCGATCTATACAAAATAAGACGTGGAAACTTAAGATCCGTTTTGATTTTTCATCTTTTCTGAACCATTTGCAACTGGTGTCAACGATAAGAAAAGAAGAATCTCCATTTGTTTCTGCTCGATTTCATTTAAAATTGAATTGAGAATAACGAGAATTTTTAACCAATTTAATCTGATGCACAATATAATTTTTCCCAAAGATTTGTCATGAAAAACATAATTTTCTTTTATATTAAACTCAATGCTTATATTTTTGAATGTACAAACACGTGGGCTATGTAGACTGTTTGAAACCAATATATATCAATAAATTATGATTGCCTTTTTTTGGTTACATTTCAACGCAAACCACTCCGCCTTGAATTACACAACATGATTAGATTGAAATACCGCGAACCGCAAAGTTGAAGAATGCCACACATTTGGGCCAAAAATGTACCGAATTCACCAAAAAAATTCAAAAAATGATTAATGTCATTGTTTTTGCCTTTACAATAAAAACCAGAATTAAAAAGAAAATCGCTGTAGGAATTGTAAAGGAATAAAATACGAACTTGAAAATTGGCTAAGATAAGGTAGTCGTAATAGGCTTGTATCTGTACAAATATAATGTACACTATTTCAATTTTAGGATGACCACATCGACTGAAGTAGAGACAAGATGCACGTTGAGTGCGCACTATCGTCCATGTAAAAAGTTCAGAGTAATAATAAAGCCTTATTCTACATTTGAGGGTGGTTCAGAATTCAGGAAGCATGCAATGTAAAAAAAACATTACTGGCACTTTGTTACTCGACTATTTCAACAATAATGTGTTCTGTAGAAACTACAAATACCAAAATATCTTGTACATTTTAGTTTTTGCATTTATCTTGGAAATGCACTTTTCAATTACATTTACTGTACGACCCCCCCCCCCCCCCCAGATACAGCAGTGGTATTGTCTATATCTAACGATGTTATTCGTTTAAAATGTTTAATAATTGATAAAAATTCAACACAAATGAAATGCCATTTGAAAACCGAGAAATTTTCCCAAAGCAATAGAAACAGACTTCAGTGCCATGAATTTTTCACGAAACCCCATGTTCAAATTTCGTTCACACACAGGTATACAAGTGTCTTACACATTATCTCTACTTCAGTGATCGATCAATAAAAACAAAATTACTATTATCGTTTGCATTTTTTGTTAAAAATGTGGACAATTAAGGCCTAGATTTTGGGCAACTTTGGGGCACTGACTAGCGGGTTGCTTTGCTCGAGGATCTTGCGTCCTTCCGTCTTGTAGTCGTAGCCGCAGTGATGTGCCTCGGCGTAGCGGTGGGTTGCACAGAAGTTGTGTCCGCATCTGCAAAATCAAGTGGCAAGTTGAATTAGCACTAATTAGCATTAATTAGTCAATTTTAGCACTAATTAATTAGCACTAATTATTGAAGACTATCATTCGCTGAAGTTAATGGAGTGTTGAGGTCAAACGATTATGGTGGCCAACGCATGTGCAATGGTCCGTGGGTTAGAACCCTGACACGAATATGATTTTTGTGTTCTTGGGCAAGACACTTTACTACAATTGTCTCTCTCCATCTGTAAATGTGTACCTGTGAGGATAGAAACCAGATTGTGTTGATCTCGAGCTGTTGCCGAAAACTGATATCATGGTCTGGTGAACAGGGGTAATAATTGTGAAACGCTATGAGACATTTAGTAAAAAGTTCTAAAATATTATCATAATTGTGTTCTCAGATTTTAAAAGCATATAAGATCATTTGCATTTATCCCAAACGTAACCTACCAAATTATTATCAAAATGCTTACTTGGATTAAACACCCCCTGAAATTATTCCGTCTGGCTTGCTGTCATTTAGAAGAAATCAAGGAATGTAGGTGATTTGCAACGATCAGTCAATTGACTGATTTTTGGAAATAAAGAGAGCTATGGACAAACTCGTGTTTCGTGATCAAAATGTTGGGCATGGTTTTTCACCGTTTTCTCCGAAAAGTGTAATATCCACTGAGCTGAAACTTCAACAGGTTAGGTTTTGAACATTCTTCTTTGGATTTTGAGAGGGTGTTATTATTGGAAACGAACAAAACACATGAAACGCAAATGATCCTATATGCCTTAAAGCCAAACAACTCAAACTAGCCACGATCTGGAATTGTGAGTTTACCTGCACTGGTAACTGGTTGCCAGACCAGTCTTTTTGTTGCAAAATGAGCACCGTTTACTTGTCTTTTTCTTGGTCGTTGCTAGCGGGGTTGGCTTACTACTACTACTGACTGGTGGGAGCCGGTGACTCGGTGATACTGCAGGCAAATAGAAAATAAACGTCATTCTATAAATTTTGCGTCCAAAGTGTGATATTTTTCCTGTCCCTGTTACCTTGGTACAGTTGTACTTTGTAATTTGCCATTCAAGTATCATTAAGAATGACTTCAAATTATTTCTTATTTGTTGGGTGGGTAGTTTGCTATTCATAATCACTCTTGGAGGATGACTGCATTAAGGAGTGCATCAGAATGACAAAATCACAGATATCTATGTATAAACAGGGACGAGAGACAATGACACAAATACAGGTTGGATCATCTACATGTAATTTAAATACCATTTGGGCAAGTTCTGTATTTTGCCTTTTTTATGTAGAGGTGTTAATTGACATTAGACACAACACTGCTCTGGCAAACTGAACAAGATTTGAACTGTCAAATCTTGAGTGTCAAATTGACTTACGAACTTACTGTTGGTCAGAAAATGGCAAAAATTGATCCTTATATTTCACTTCATGGTTTTTTGTTCAAAATGCATCAAAATTCCCATTGAATGGAGTCAGTTATACACGTCCATGTAGAATAAACAATGGACGACTATGAAATGTTTTTATATAAATAAATTCAACTAAATTTAAAACAAAGTTGTAAAAAAATTGAAAACAGACATCTCTTATTAAACATGACTATTAGACCATACAGGCATTATTATTTAAAAAACTATTCAAACTATTAAAATAAATGCAAACGGATTGACAAAAACTGTTTTTACTTACAAAGCCTTCCGTCGCGTGTTCCCGATATTCTACCTCGTATATTATGTGCAGACTGCAGGAAAGTAAGAAAGCAGGACAAACAAGACATGAACGATAGACACATAAAAAGCAAATCCCACTTTAAGTGTATTTGTTGGGCGTGATCGGTGGAACTGCGCAATTTAAGCTATCACGCAGAAATGCCTTTCTGCGATTGGTCAAATCGCGCCGCACTATCGGTCAACCATGTCACCATCGGCCGGTTATGCCACCATCGGTCGATCGCACTTGCGATTTAAAAAAGGGAGGTCAAGTCTGAGATTTTGTACAGGGTGCATTTTTGCACAATCGAGCAAATCCATCGACCATGCCCAACATATTCGTCAAGTTGTCAGTGTATAGTGATATAGCACAAGGTACATGTATATCAGAAAATTTGATTCCAGTAACCCCTACTATATCAGATTGGAACCAGCCAGCCGACCCCAGCAAGCTCGGTGGTCGAGTGGTTAGATGTCTGCACTAGTAAGCAGGAGGTCATGGGTTCGAGTCCCACCAGAGTAAGCTGGTGACATTTTTGCTCACAACCACTGGGGACCACACTTGAGTATACAGTGTTTATGAAAATATGTCAGTGAAGGACAAGGCCCACTTTTGAATTTATATTTGGAAAAGTTAAAACTTACAATGAGAGCAGTTCGTCCATCAGGGGTGCGAATCCGGTCCCCGTTACTGGCACTCTTCAGCGCCGACGACGTTGTGTTCAAAGCCTGGCTGAGAGCCAACGCCCCCGACGCACCCCTTGCCCTACCGCTCCCCTTAGCCGTGTGTAAGTCCCTAGGAGCACCGCAGACAATGTCATTGATTTTGCCGTCCCTGTTGGCCTGGTTGACGAGCTCCGTGACCAGGCGGGCCTCGGCCTTGACGCCGCTTCGCTCCCTCCCGCGGGCGTCCGCCGACGTTAGCACCTGTTGGTGGACCTTGGAAGAAGTGTTGGGACGCATATCGGGCACGACCGTGGCCGTTGAGGGGGGTAACATGTTCCCTAGATTGGTGTAGGATCGGTGGAGGCGGGCGCTTGTTAGCGACTCGAGGGTGCGGCAAGTAGCAGGCGGGGCCGGGCTGTGGCGTTTATCGGCGGTGAGGAGCCGTCGCTCCGCCCGACTGGCGGACCCTCCTGCCAACTCACAGTCCAGGCTGCCTTTCGGGGATTCTAATTTAGCGCTGGCGTCCATGGAATGATGCGCTGCTGCACTGAGTGCACCCACGGGCGGGAGGGGATTGTTCTTGTTGAGTAGAGGGGGCGATTTCTTCTTTGACACTGGTAGACGCCTTCTGACGGCCGTGCTCTTTGGCCGGGTGGTGGTAGGTGGATGGGGCGTTTTATGCTTCTGAAAAAGACAAATTTGCTGTAACTGATGAAATAGTCAGTGCTACAACTTCAAATCGAGGTATCCACAGATATCTTAAATTTTATTTTTGATGACTTTTCCAGGACACAATTAGGGCTTTCCATGACCAATTCGTACGCTGTTTTGGCATCTATGGAACCAATTTACAATACACTGGCCAGTCATCACCCTGAGGCAAGGGACGCCACTCCCTTTCAGCCTTCCTGTTTGACACAAGACCACTGAGCACCGCAAAGGCATCACAATGGTGCACTGAACATTCAACAAGTATAGAGCATACACGCATAAATAGGAAGTATAGCAAACTGGAATGCAAACTGGAAGACGGCCATAGCCATCATCACGCATGGGTTGTGTAGGATTCCATGACTTTTTCCTTGGAATATCAACCTTCCACGACTCCTTGTTTTAAAGAGCAAAATATCATGACTTTCCATGTCAGTGCATTAATTCAAGGATTTTCAATGACTGAATCCAAAACTGCCCGAGCACTGAATGGTTTTTATTGATTTTTAACCCTAACCTTCCCAAATCCTCCAAAATGCTCTTTGCAAATTGGAGGAATTTGCAGGATTGAGGCTACATGGCAAAAATGTGATGCTGATTTCAGAGGACGCACTGTGTCAAGGTCTTGGGCCGGACCTTGTGTTGTTTAAGCTCAACCGTGCATCAATTTAGGCCTAGATTATACTTGAAATCCCCTGCACTGCTCCAGGATGTCACTGGCTCTGCTTCGACATACTGACAGTGATTGCCGGAGGCTTTTGCCGGATTGAGGCAGTGGTCACCCCTCCAAGGACCACACTCAAGAAATAACGGAGAATTTGTGCAGGATTGAGGTTTCCTGCTATTTTCACATGTAGGCAGATGAAGGATTTGGCAGGATTGAGGTTGCATCCTAGCAAGCATGCCTAGGGAGTTGAAGGTAATCTTGAGTGAATAAACTCAATGTAGAACAGGTACAAATTATGGGTTATTAAAGCCAGAGTCCATCATTTGCAGCTATCCAAAAAGTAACTGGCGTCATTATTGTTGAAAAACATACTTGGTTGAAAGATAATAAGGGGACTAGACTCCCTGTGAAATTATTCTTTCTGGCAAGCTGTCATTTTGAAGTAATCAACAACAGAAGGCCATTCCAACGGTGCTTCTTAAGAAGCACCGTAGGAAATTTAAATTAATAGTTCGTTTTTTTATTCGGCGAAGCGCACGCAAGCATTGGCACGATGCACATGCGCACGCGGTTGCTATAATTCGTCGGATCAGTGCGCGACATCGCGTAGCTGCAATCGGCTCAGTGAGAACATGTATAGGACGCTGAATTCAGGCCCAATTCAAAACATGATTCAGCAACTTTTGATTTGAAATCAAGATCCTAGAATGCTGTTTTTCTCGGAATATACAGCTGAAGCTGAGCTGAAACTTCATCAGGTTAGTTGTTCAGTACCCTTCTTTAGATTTTGAGCACTTTTGTTGCTTCAAACGAACAAAATGCACAAATTACAAATGATGGACTATACCTTTAACCCTAACTCCCTAGGCCTTTTTGCTAGGATGTAGCCTCAATCCTGCAAAATCCTCCAATTGGCCTCATGGAAAAATAGCATATAGCCTCAATCCTGCAAATTCCTCCGTTATTTCTTGAATATGGTCCATGGAGGGATGACCACTGCCTGAATCCTGCAAAATCCTCCGGCTATGTCTGTCAATAGGCTGAGGCAGAGGCAGTGACATCCTGGAGCAGTGCGGAGGATGTCAAGTATAATCAAGGACTAAATTTATGCACGGCTGAGCATAAACAACACAAGGTCCGGCCCAAGACCTTGACACAGTGCGTACTCCGAAATCAGCAACGCACTTTTGCCATGTAACCTCAATCCTGCAAATTCCTCCAATTTGCAAAAAGGCTTTTGGAGGATTCAGGGCGGTTTGGGTTAAAGAAGCATTTACTGACCTTTTTGCCGATTGATAGTGTCTCCATCTTGGCACGGAGGAGTTTCATTTTACTCATAGTGACGTCGTTTTCTACCGATTGCTCCTGGGACGGCACTCGTTCTTCCTCCTCCTCATCATACATGTTATTGTACATCGACGCGCCACTGAAAACAACACAATGCAATACATCAATTAATGGTAAAAATAAAGGCCAATGGTAATTGAGACCTGTGAGGCATCGGGAATGCTTTCTGCGCATGGTAATTAAGACCTGTTAGTCTGGTTCCCAGACCAAAAGATCCCGACTATTCTGACAAATCTTAGGTCTTGTAGCCATCACATTCAAAAACGGAACATGACGCAGCAAAGCCCCGCCCTTACGAGTGCATACTTGAGGTACAAAACCTCAAAACAAAAACTAATATTATACTGTTGTTGCTTCAAACGTTATGATATGATATCCCAGAATATTTTTTTTTTTCAACTTTATTGACGAACACTGTTAGGTTTTTTTAAAGAACAACTTTTAAATTGTTTCCCCTATTGTTTATTTAAATTTCCTTTCAGTAAATATTTCATGTTTATATACAACTGCTTTTCTAATGATTAAGATCCCTTTTTAAAAGCCTTCATCATTATATAAAACTTAAAAATAAATTAATTCAGTATCTTTTAATTACTACTAGTTAAAAATATTTTGTTTTATTTAATGTATATTTTAAAAAAGGCAAATCTATTGGCCTAAGCATTAGCCAATTATGACCAAATTATATGAAAGTTTTTCTTTGCACTTCAACTGAGGAAAACAGTTGAGGAATACATGAATGGGCCACAATAAAAAAAAAAATACATGTGCTATCATACTTTTTATAAGTTTCTTGCTCACAAATGCTTCAAATGAGAAACACATGGGCCGCTTGCCCCGCACATAGAAACAACCCACTTCAAAGCCACAACAAATCCCGCCATATCGCTAGGTTACGACAAACAATGGCCAACAGAGCCTAATCTTATCCCGCACACAAAAGGAAAATCAATATTCTGTCAAACACCCCCCAGGACCCCAAGGTGTGGAGAACAAAAGGCAAATGGACTCCTCAGAGTGACCAGTGTATTACCTACATGTAACTCTTTCGGAGGTGGCCGTAAAAAGGGTCAATGGTTAAGTGGTTGCAAACCTTGCAATCTTAAATTTGAGATAACATGGTGTTTTCCACCAAATAAAATCCCATTGGCAAACATGCATTTATGCAGGACAAACAAGATGATTTTTATTCAATTAACTTCTAGTTTCTGGCTGGCGAAGAAGAAAATTGTGGTACAAACATTGGCGAACCAGAAAATCGCCATGAATATCTCAAGGAGTCAAATTTATAAAATCAAGCTTCATTTTTAAACACCCTGCTAATTTCACCCATTTCTTTTTTACACGGTGACAGAAAATTTAGTAATTTCAACCGCAAGTAAAACCAACCATAAAATGCAAACTAATGTACAATTCTTACCGAATCAAGATCAACAGTTGAGGCTTTCTTTGGTGCCGGCCAAATTTCATGTGTCCACGGGCACACTTTTTTAAAATCACCTTTATCATTTATTTTTCTTTTCTTTTGAACGATACCATATCAGGCGGAATAATTTCACAGGGTATTTGGTACTCTCCCTATCTTCACTTTGAGCAAGGGTTTTCGCATTAAATTAGTAGGTGCGTTTACGGGGAATTGCCAATGATTTAAATTTTGAAAGAAAACAAATACTGAAGGTGATTCAAGGTGATTTTTAAAAAAGTGTGCCCACAGACACACATTTTTACGTGCATTACATGTAGCAAAGGAATCCAGTTACAAGACCCAAAAATTTTGTTTTCTCAACATGTATAGTATCCACACAGCTGAAACTTCAACAAGGTAGTTGTTATATACACCGTTCTTAAGCTTTCAAAGGTATAGTCCATCATTTGTAATTTGTGCATTTTGTTCGTTTGAAGCAACACACCTACTCAAAATCTGAAGAAGGGTGCTGAACAACTAACCTGAGGAAGTTTCAGCTCAGCTTCAGTTGTATATTTCGAGAAAAACAGCATTCTAGGATCTCGATTTCAAATCAAAAGCTGCTGAATCATGTTTTGAATTAGGCCTGAATTCAGCGTCCGAGACACGTTCTTACAAAAAAACAAACTACTAACAGAAATTTCCAACGGTGCGTCTTAAGAAGCACCGTTGGAAAGGCCTTCTTTAGTTTATTTCTTCAAAATGACAGCATGCCAGAAAAAATAATTTCACAGGGAGTTTAGTCCCCTTACTATCTTTCAGCTAAGTACGTTTTTCAACAATAATTACGCCAGTTACTTTTTGGATAGCTGCAAATGATGGACTACAGCTTTAAACAGTTTTGTTGCTTCAAATGCATAGATGCACAAAAAACAAATGTTCCTATAGACCTTTAACCCTAACCACCAAGAATCCTTCAAAATCCTCTTTGCCGAAGTGGAGGAATATGGAGGATTGAGGTTACATGGCCAAAGTGCATTACTGATTTCATAGGATGCACTTTGTGAAGGTCTTGGGCCGGACCTTGTGTTGTTTTTGCTCAGCCATGCATAAATATAGGCCTGGATTATGCTTGAAATCCTCCGTACTGCTCCAGGATGTCACTGGCCATGCCTCAACATACTGACAGTCACTGCTGCAGGATTTTACAGAATTCAGGCAGTGATCACCCCTCCACGGACCATAATCAAGAAATAATGGAGGAGTTTGCAGGATTGAGGCCACATCCTAGCAAAAAGGCCTAGGGAGTCAGGGTTAAGTGGACAAATCTTGAAAATACTTCTCTTTTTTTTTAACTCTTTAAGAGTTCTCACCTCAATGATTCTGACAGCGGCGTCAGGGTGCCGTCGCCCCGGTCAACCACCCGGAAGAAATTCAGCTGGTCCCCCTCCCTGAACACCAGTAGCGTGACCTGACGGTTACCGGGCAGCTTCTCCCAGATCTCGTCCCTGTTGGCTTCCATGTATTCGGCCATCTCGCGTATGGCCGGATCCTCCATTGGAACTGAAATAGGGGAAAAAGCAGGATTACAAGAGGATTTTTAAACAGAATTTTAAAAAAACTGCCCAAAGCTGCAAATGATGACTGAAATTTAAATGTTTACAGGAATCATTTATTGAACAATGTTTTGAATGTCTTTTTGTACACACATTATAATGGGTATTTTCTGAAAGCCTAATAAAATTAAAGAGGTGCACTCTGTCAGTTTTTGGTGTTTTTTTTTTTTTTTGGTGGAATGGAAAATCAGTGGCCGTACTTGTCACCTTGGTTAATACTGAAATCTCTAATCCTTTCATGGCCGGTTCATACTGCATGTGAATGATTTTAGAGGATTGAGGCAGTATCAACTTACATGTAGTTTGTGAGAAACACTAGCTGAGCGTAACTTGGGTTGACAACTTTAAAATGAAGTTAGAACACAAAAACTCAGATATGCTAGTCCAAAAATGATGGCTTTTCAATGATCACTTGACACTTACTTCTCCTGGTGTTGATGGGCCCACCTCTCATGGCTAGAACCAACTTGAGTGAACTGCTAGGAGGAATTCTAAGAACGGAGAAGAATCATTTTAAAGATTGCACAAATTCAGACATTTGAATTTTAGCCCGCCTGTGGGCGACCGAGTGAGTGAGTGTGAGTGATATTTATACTATTGCCAGCTCATATGTGACACCCTAGCCCTGCTGAATCCAACAGGATCCAACTATGTCACATACCCGATGGAGCCTGTTGGATTGAGCAGTTTACCCCTTGTGTAGATTCCTCATCTTTCAAGGCAAATTGAATCAGAAAAGCAAAGTTCACAACTTGTAATTTAAGGAAAGCATACTTTTCTTCTCAGTTCAATTCAAAATGTCTGTTTCTAAATCTTTGTCGTCTTTGACAGCACAGAGCTGTGCTCAACTACAACGTGCTCAGTTTTGCCTCGTGAAATGAAACTTTCTGTCTGTCACCTCATGAAATAATTCTTACCACTACACTCATAAACATTCATTATATGTATACCAACTCGGTTTACCCAATTTAAACATCACACCACATCTATTTTAAGCAATTTTAACACTAGCACAGATATGTCACACACCTGGGTTCTCTCAGAGAGTTTTATCTAATCTGCAGAAAATACTGAGATTTTTTTTTTTTCTTTCTTTTTTCTGATAAACTCCGCTGATGGGTTAACGTGACAAATAGGCTAATGTGACCGTCCCGCATTGCCGCACAATGTGTGAAGAATGTGTGAAGAATGACAAATGATCCGGGTTTTGAAGGGTGTCCGGGCGCGGACTTGATAAATGACTCTCTCTTCTTCGCAGACAAAGGGCTCCCTCGCGTTGGGGATGCGCTGCGCCTCAATTAAAAAAAGCGGCCTTTGACATTTTTGCATTGTGCAATGTGTGTGCAGTTGACACGAATTTACCGATAATTTCTTTTACCACCTACATGTATTGTGTGCAAGTGTCAATACTGGAATTTGGTTACATACACAGAATACATCAATGTTAAATGCTCAACGTTTACCTTGACATTTGTCATCTTTTGCATAATTAAGTGGAAAATTGCCAATATCCCGCATGTGTTCGCGTGAATAATTTAAAGTGAAGTATGGATTTTGTATACGATCTACTGTCGCCGACAAAAAAGTTACCAACAATAACGCTTTGTATCCTTTGGCAAAGAAGCTTTATAAATTCTTGTTCTTCTTCTTATTTTTGTTTACCGTCGACAAAAAAGTAGCATGTAACAATAAAGTGTGCCAATAAATCATTACAATAAAACAACATCACATGCATGTATACATGTATGTGCGTATTTTATTTTAAAAATTCCAATATTCAAACCCGCAAAAAGCTATTCGAATATTATATTTACTTGATGATCGAATATTTGAATGTTTGCACTTTTTTTTTTATAAGTTACAAAATAAAATTATTTTCCGACCTACTTACATGTACCTGAATAATTTTTAGGCCGTTATCCTAAAACACAATTTTTTTCTCAGACTTAGACTTACACACAAAAGAAGGAAAAAATCAAATGAGTTATTCCAAACAAATGTGACAAATTTTGGCAATACTTTTCCCCATTTAAACGATCTAACATCATGTTTCGGCAGGCTTTAACTTCAAAACAAAACAAAACAAAATGCAGGAAACAAAATACCAGGAAAAAAAATACAAAAAAAAAAGCAGGAAGCATAATATGTCAAGACCACCCACAAACTCAAACAAATGCACTACTGGTCACACTTTGGATACACTGAATCTCCAACCTACTGACACAGTGCACTTTTATGCATTTTTTTTTTTGTAAATAACTGATAATGACCAACAAAAAAAAATCTGTGTATTTTACCCTTATGTATGAGGTTGAACGCTTAAGTGTACAATGCGAGCCACGATAAACATGTAAATGATCAACCATGGTTTGACTGGCTTTTAAATGATACAAAAGTGATTACAATTGTATCAAAAACTTGGGTGTGGATTTGCGTGTACCTGTATGTACAATGTAAACACAGTGGGCTTAGAAATAGAATGTTTGCTTAGGAATAATTTACAAACTTCATAAGTTCAATCGTAAGGCCAAAAAAAACCAATAGTTCTGCTTCTGATTACATGGCATTTGAAAATAGGGTAGGTAGGTAGCGATTTTTTTTTTGGGGGGGGCCAATTTTTTTGTGTACGATCATATGGAGGTGTCTGCATGTAGTCAAGGGTAAAAGGTAGTAATTGATGATTTTCTGGGTTTTTTTCCCTCATTTTCCCAAAAACAATTAAGGTAGGGGCTGTCAAAATAGGGTAGGTAGGGTAAAACTATTATTTTTGGGGGGCCTAATCATTCAATCAAACCAAGAACTAAAGTGTTGCCATTGTTTGATTGTTGTTAGAAAAGAATGCTTCTTCAACTACAATTCACCAAACTTATCCTTACAGGTTTTTTTCTAATGTGCGTTTCCATTCAAATACCTTTTACTTATTTACGTTCATAACGCTCTTCAACAAATTTGGTGGTGTTTTTTGGATCAACCCTAACCCTCCTCAATACTTCAAAATCCTCCAGGCTGTTTTGGAGGATTTTGGAGTACTGAAGCTGAATGGCAAAAAAACTGTCGGTTGATTTTGGAGGATGCAATGTATCGAGTTCATAGGCTGTACCCAGCATTGTTTATGTTCAGCCATGCATAATTGAGGCCCAGTTTATACTGGATATCGTCCACACTGCTTCTGGATATATTCCGTACTGCCTCATTGTATTGACATATGGCCATTTGCGAGTTAGCCACGCCCCTTAGACAACCCTTTGGAATTTTCTACGTTAAGAATTGTGTGTCTCAGATTTTGCGCGTTCCGCATCCATTTTGTATACATGCAATTGGACAATATTTCACAAGCTGCGCTGACGCCATTCTAGCGCAATAGGTCAATTACAGTGGTTGTTGGAGGATTTTGAAGGATGGAGGTCATCCCTCTACTAAACAAATCTAGAAATAACGGATGATTTTGGAGGACTGAGGCAGTATCCAATATTAACACGGATGCAGTTGGAGGGTTTTGAAGGATTGAAGATGCATCCTAGCAAAAAGGCCTAGGAGGTAGGCCAAAAAAAATATATTTCTGCTTCCGATTACATGGCATTTGAAAATAGGGTAGGTAGGTAGGGATTTTTTTGGGGGGAGGCCATTTTTTTGTGTACGATCATATGGAGGCGTCTGCGTGTAGTCAAGGGTAAAAGGTAGAAATTGATGGTTTTGGGTGTTTTTTTCTCATTTTTCCAATAACAAAATTAAGGTAAGGGTGGTCAGAATAGGGTAGGTAGGGAAACTGGAAGCAGAAATATTGTTGTTTTTTTGGCCTTGGGGTAAACCAGGGATTTGAGCTTGTGTTAGTTCAACATACCCATAGTCATGCAAGCAGTAGTCGTCTTCCAGTTCCACCGACTGCCATATAAGGTGTTGCTGGCTTATGGGGATTCCTGGATATTAAAATGACGGGAAGAACAATTATTTGAAATGGATAGTGATGTAGAAATGCACAATAGAAAGACGCGTCCGCGATCACTTTACGTTCTTGTTCTTCGGGCTCACAATAACACTGGGCACATTCTGCACGATGTCACTGCTTCACCATTCAAACGCGAATCAACGACTAACGTGTCTACAACGAATTGTGGCTCTCGGACTTGAATAGAGAATGTCTCCTTTTAATATGTTATCAGGCCAAAATTGTACTGCTTTCTTTTATTTCTTTTCTAAGGACGTTACACACGTTGTGGCTCCTGTACCCAGTAACTGGGGCGCTAGAACTCATTTTTTTGGCATTTTGGCTTGGATCGGTCATACTGATAACCGTGTCTGTAAACCACGCACGAAAATTGTAATTTCTACCCCAAGAAACTATTCAAACTCTTTTTTTTTTAAGGTGTCATTAGACTTTTTCATGGTAAGTCTATGTGCCATCTTGTTCACAGTGCAAAAAGAAAAAGCGTTGTTAGGCGCGGGCACATTTTGGAATGACCGCATGATGACTTGGAAGCGCCAAAGTTTTCCATTGACGATGCATACACAGCAACGCGTGTTAAATTTCCCCATCGGCAAGATGGCGCATATTACCGTGAAACATCTATACTACAATTCAAGGAATCTCTGTCTGTCTGTCCGTCTGTCTGTCTGTCTGTCTGTCCGCCGATTATCTCCAGAACTGGGCACCGTATGAAGTTGAAAATCGGCGGGTGTATTGCTCGGGACACCAGAATGTGCAGTGCCAAATTTGAAGGGGTTTGGAAGAGCGGTTGTCGAAAAAGCTGCAAAAAAGCAGCATTTTTTGAGACTCAACGTGGCAGAGTATAGCCTAGAACTCCACGCACTGCTGTTCTTTTCAATTGTTTACGTCATGTTCAAGCTAAAGCGCGCGTGCTCAATATGACGCAAACAATGCAAAAAGGACGAGCACGCGCACGTGCATTGTAGGGCGATACCATTGTCCAGTATGGGTGAATAGCACTGCGTACCATATGTTTCCGTACGTGATGACTGCACGGGCACATGCATTTTGCAGTCGATTGAACCACTATTGTAGGCGGTGGATTGAGCAACCTTACTCACGTAGGTGAGTAGCTGCACGGGCGTATTGGTGAATATCAGTGCCGGGGATGGCCTGGCGACATGTACAAAGTGCGCTCAACCTATGAGTGTGAGTTTAACATGTGAAAACAACACAATTGAATCGTGTGCGTTGTTTGCATGATATGAGCATTTTGAAATTGCCCCTAACGAACAGGTGCATTTTTTTGACGGGCCCTGCAAAAATGACGGGCACATTGTAGGGCGATAAGCACTGCACACTATGTCTTCGTACGTACATATACGTGAGTGGCATGCACGGGCACATGCATTTTGTACTCAACTGAGCAACCATCACTGCACTGTATGTGCCGGGGGGGGGGGGGTGACGTTTAACTGCATTTTGCAGTCGACTGAGCAACCATCACGGTGTAGGCGGTCGACTAAGTAACCCTTACTGTAGGGCGATACCATTGTCCAGTAGGGGTAAATGGATGACGACATGTGTGCGTTTAACCTGCGAGTGTGCGTTCAACCTGTGGTAGCACCATTGAATAATGTGCGTTGCTTGCAGAGCTGCAGTTCTCAACTGCCCTTTCCGAACAGGCACATTTTCGACTGGCCCTGCACTAGTCCTTACTATAATTCCAGGAATCTCTGTCTGTCTGTCTGTCCGTCTGTCTGTCCATCGATTATACCTAGAACCGGGCACCGTATGAAGTTGAAAATCGGCGGGTGTGTTGCTCGGGACAACAGAATGTGCAGTGCCAAGTTTGAAGTGGTTTGGACGAGGGGTTATCGAAAAAGCTGCAAAAAGCAGTATTTTCTGAAGCCTAGTGCGCCAGAATATAGCCTAGAACTCCGCGCACTGATGTTCTTTTCAATTGTTTACGTCATGTTTGAGCTAAAGCGCGCGTGCTTAATATGACGGCAACAATGCAAAAAGGACGGGCACATTGTAGGGCGATAGCACTGCACACCATGTACGTACATAAAATACGTGAGTGGCATGCACGGGCACATGGATTTTGTAGTCAACCGTCACTGCACTGTATGTAGGCGGTCGACTGAGCAAATACAATATGGTATCCCCCTACAACTACGCCCTACAGTTGTAGGGCGATACCTAGTCCGAAAATTTGGGACTCTCAATACTGTGTATGAGAGTCCCAAAACTTAAGGTATTGAAAACATGCAAAACAAGAAAATAGATTGGCGCCTAAAACAACCAGTCCAACACAGCTTCAGTACTGCATCAATCAACCATGCCAAAAGAATTTAAGAAACATGTGTCATGAAGCGGGAACTAGTCTCAATTTACTACACATTTCTCCATAGTCAAGCCACCAGACTATTGTCTATTGACACTGAATGAAGAGGTCAGTCTTTTCAAATAGTTGGACCATGGTTGGACATGTACCAGTCTAGTATTTAGCCCCATTTTGAAATCAGTTGACTTCCCTCTCATGTGTAAAATATTGAAGAAATGTCTCCTTTAAAAATTGAATTTGGTCTGCAAACTTGGTTGGTGAAATTCTGAGGACATTTTCTTTGCCCACGTGGAATTTTTGGAGAAATTTGCTGGCTAAACTGTGAGTAAAGTTGGCCTGATTTAGTTTTGCACGTTTCAGAGCACTCCAGAGCCCTGTCTGGGCGATACCATATTGTCCAGTAGGGGTAAATATCAGTGCCGGGGGGTGACGACATTTTGTGCGTTTAACTTGCGAGTGTGCGTTCACACCATTGAGCTGCAGTTCTCAACTGCCCCTTCCCAACACGCACATTTTCGACTGGCCCTGCACTAGTCTTATTAAGAGAAGTCTGCTTAAGGTTAAAAAGGTCATTTTTGATTGCTAAAAAACACCTTTGACTCTTTTTGAGGGGCCCGTACAGTTCTACACAATTGCCACGCAAATTATGTTAATCGTCTGCAGTCTACAAAATTATAAGATTACCGTATTTAAAATACATTTAAAATGACAGGAATAATTATAATAGTGTGAATGTTGGGTGCGTTCATTCGATGTGCGCCATGGGTCGATCGCATTGCGCCATCGGTCGAGTATTCATGACGCTTTCGGTCGATCCCGCTGCCTCCAGTTGAACACCTTTTCTTTCTAATTCACAACTCTGGAGGATTATTTATTTTTTTTACTTTTAAAAGGCAAGTAAAGTCCGAGATATCCTACAGAATTGACCCATCGCACAACGCAATCGACCGATCGCCCAACATGAACATGGACATGGTAAAAATTAATAAAATAGGGCCTACTTAAAATAATCATAGGTAAATCAATTGGAATGTCAGACAAGTCGACCGTTGAGACAACTCGACTCGGGACAAGTCGACCGTTGAGACAACTCGACCGTTGAGACAAGTCGACCGTTGAGACAACTCGACCGTTGAGACAGCTAACGTGCACGGCACGTGCACGGTACGGCCACGCGGTTGACCGGAGATGCGCGCACAGGCCCGGCAAAAACGAACGATGTGCACGGACAATCACGCTGCGCTATATCGGCTCTGCTCTGTTACGTGTCATAACTCCCAAACGGCGATCAGCCGCCGTCAAAATCCCCGGTGCTATCCCCAAAACTAGGCCCAAAAACATGCGAGGCGACTTGTATCAACGGTCGACTTGTCTTTTCATTTATCGCACATACGGTCGAGTTGTCTCAACGGTCGAGTTGTCTCAACGGGCGACTTGTCCCGAGTCGAGTTGTCTCAACGGTCGACTTGTCTGACCCCCAATCAATTGTGTCAATTTACTACACCAGTCAGAGAATCACCTAACTTAATTTACGCATGGTACATAAACATCAGGTTTTTAATCAAAACAAAACATACAGGGATACAGGTAATATTAACAACTATAATAAGTAGCTAATTAGCATTACACTGAAGGACCTTCACAACAGCAACAGAAACATTCATTCATCCATCTCCAATTTCATACCTTCCAATCTCTGAATCTTGGCTTTCACCGAAATCACCGTCTCAAAAGGCGACACCCGCAGCTCAAAAACCGTGCCGGTCAGAGTCTCTATAAAGAGTTCCATAATGTCTGCGTATTCCGGGTACTCAAAGTAATCCATGGCTCTGCTAAGGTGCCCTTAACTGACCCAAAATGTGGCATTTAAATGAGGCACCATGTTGGCTGTCGACATCAAAGTGCTCCGCCGCGTCAGCTCGGCTGCCTGTGTGGGAATGAATTCTCTCTCGGAGTCGATTTCAGGGGTCGGTGTCATTTTTCCCACGCCAGTTTGACACCCGTTTACCACTCCAAACGTCCTTTTTACTCCTATCACATTCTGTTACGAGGCCAAGAACACTCTCATGATATGAAGTCGCACATTATTTCCTTATTTTCGTCCAAGAAATGTAAGAAATTACTGCGGAAGTAGTGTCATGGATTCGAGCTCGCTGGCTTCCCGCACGTAGATACGGTGAAATCGCTGCGGAATGTTTTCCCGTACTTTTGAGTTCACTGGTTCGCTAATCATGTTAATGTGCATTAAACTATGGAAGAGTACCAGCTGAAAAATATGGGCCGAGTTGTAAAGCTCCCGGATGGTAATCTCTAATAGCAACCAACATGAGATACACTGCTACATCTACACATCGTGGGAAACATTTTCGCTTTCTTTAAGAATTTCCTTACTTAGCTCCATGCTTATATAAATATCAAATTAAAAATCTGAGGATTGAAATAAGCATACAAATACGGGAGAATACAATAACAGTTGAATCTCAGGCTAGGATCAAATTTAACAAGGGAGTTGAAAAAAGAGATGGGCGTGGAAGGTTACAGATGAGCCTGTAACCATGACGATGAAGAGATTTCATCTTGAGAAGTACCTTCCTCCGTTTGTATGGGCCGTTTTGTGGAAGATGGCGAAAAGACAGGGGCGCAGCTGCGGGGGAGGGGGGTCACATCCCTTGCCATCCCCCCCCCCCCCTCCTTCCCCTCCACATATGTCCAAAAATAGAATTCCCTTGATTAAGTGGGGGATAAGCTCAGGCAGGGGGGGGGGGAGTCAGTGTCAGAGGTTGAAAGACCCACTCTCAAATTTGACATGGGCACATTTTTTTTTAAAGCGTCAAGCCACAAAATACACATTTTCAGTACTTTTACCGGTCCATGCAAAGGGTTAGATTGCAGTTTATACACTGATTTTACACTTTCTGGACAAAAAAATATGAAGTTGAACGAAGAAACTGCTGGCGCGGGGTTTGAACCTGAGACTTGTGGAGTGCCGTTTCGGTGCTCTACCCGTAATGTTTGTGGTTCTCCATTTTGTCAATATCTTTGTTCAAAGTGTGCTAGTCAGAACTTGAACCATAAAAATTACAGTACACGTGCATTCAGACAGTTTCACTTTCTTTGTGGCTTTTTTTTTATTTTGGAAAATTTCTTGAGAAAAAGGGCTATAGAAAGTCAAGTTTAAAGTTTTAAATCAATCTTATTTAATTTATTTTGTGCTATTTTGGTTTTTTTTTTAACCCACCACCACTCAGTGACAGGCCTACATTAAGTATTCATTCAAAATCCCTTAAGGTTTACGAATCAAAATTACGACAAATTTAGGTAATTCTTATTTGTTGTAAACAAAGTTTGTAAACAACGAACTACGATTTTTTTAATAAGTAAACGATAAAAAGGTGACGGCTGCAATGAAGACTAGCAAAGTATGGTATCCTGTTCTTCTCGTTTTTTTATTCACTGACTTATGTGGACGAGGTGTTTAGTCTGGTTCTAAACATCGAGCGCATTCAGGTGAGGTGATGGTCATCTTGTTTCCTGGTATTAAATATTTCATTTTTAAAATCTTTTATTCTGGCAATTAATGAAAATACAGCTGAGAAATGTACCAATGATGTTAAGCATAAGTAATGTAGTCCTTCAAAGTATTATTAATTGTAAGATGGTATCTTTTGGGGCCACGTAAACAACGTTGGTAAACTTTCATGGTGTACTGATTTTTGTGAAACTGTAAACGTTAGACGCGTAGACGTGATGCATGCGTGCGTGGTACTAGTAGAGCGCAGATTGGAGTACAAAAAAGTCGGTACAGAGTGTGTCAAAAACAAGTTCAACGTTTAGAAAACAAATAATTAAACTGTTAAATTCTTTTTTCTTCGATGAAATTATATATTACATTAAAGCCTGACCAGGCCTATTTCTCAATTCACTACTTTTTACCCAATTCAATTTGGGTCCCTAGAATCCAGAAATACAAATTACAATCAAATTGAATCATTGCCGTATACATTTTAGTTAATTTTTTTTTTGACAGATAATCAACATCATGGCGTCCCCTGTGAGATTAAAACCACAGCCGAAACCACGACCCAGCAAACGGACCAGTGGTGCCGCAGCGTCCCCAGTCGCCGCTGGTGCCACTAGTCTTATGCCGAAGACTTCCGAGTATTCAGAACCCAAAGACACGAAGCATGTGAAGGAAGAAGTCATATATGCCACACCGGGCGAAGCGAACGTGTACGATGCTCCGCAACAGGCCAATGTGTACGCAACACCTGACGAGAGCAGTCGGACAACTAGTCCGGTGCACAGCAGCAAGCCTGGTTCGCCCGTCATGGAGTGGGACGGGTACCAGACTCAGACGTCGCGGGACAGCCAGCGTTGGGACCGCACCCCTCCGGAAATCCCCCATTTTGATCTGGACTCGGACGATCGCGAAACCGACTCCGATGAGGACTCTGGCGAATGTTGTCCTGGTCGCTGCGAACCGTGTAAAGCCGTCTTGCGGCCATGCATGGCGCAGTATAATCCACTGCCGGACAACCCGTCCCTGTGCGTTCGCCTAAAGCACGCCCTCTTGTGCCCACCCCACGGGCGCATGTCTAGGGATCTGACGTTGGTTCTGCTGGTGTTTCTGTCCTGGGGTGTGGTGTGGGGTGCGACGGGGGATGCGGCTCTGCCAGGGGGAACCTTCTTCGCGTTGTACGTGCTGACCATTTGCTGCATTCTTGGAGGATTTTTGGTGAAACTTGTTCGACTGCCGCCCTTACTAGGTATAAAAGGATCATTCGACAAAGTTGGGTCCATTTTTTTTCATGTCCCTGTTAGGCCCAAAAAAAAATAAGTCGGTCTATGGTCAGCACGCTCGTCGATTTTAATCATGCATGTCGATCTTTTTTTTTTCCAAAATGTTCCGCGGTAGCTCCAACAGCGCCCTCTATTTCCGCACCTCAATTTTTTTTACCACAGAGCACCAAGGAATGGGAAATTGCACCAAGGCAAATGATCGAAAGCACCGAGGCAAATTATGGAGGACACCAATGTACATGAGGACACCAAAAAAGCAAAATAGTACCCCACCTTGTCTGTACAATCCAAGCTTGAAGAAAAAAAGAAAGAAAAGCCGCGTGGCCGCGTCAATTCCGGAACTTTGGTCTGACCAGAGACCGTATATTTTTTTTTTTGGCCTTACATCTGATATAAGATTTTGTAAATTCAAGGCACATTCTTTAATGCAATCTCTCTCCGAGAGTGATTGTGTAAAGAAACGTGCCTGCCAAACATATAAAAAATAGTTTAACCCTAACTGAACTCAACCCGTCAAAGCCCAACAACAGGTTTTGTTGAAATCTGTTGAGAGAGGCACAGTACCCCTAAACTGATGGTCTTTTACACTGGGGTTGGCTTACCTCCAGAAACCAAGTCCAACAGTGTGTGCGTACGATTTCCCATGGGGGTGTTGGAATTTGCCAGCTGAAGCCCTTGGCCCAATTTCATAGAGCTGCTTAAGCAGAAAATTTGCTTAAGCACGAAAAAACATTGCTTAGTAAAATTAGGTTACCGGCTAAAACTCCATGTGATGTACATTGCTTGTGACTGGTATTTAGCTGTTGTTTACTTAGCATAACAATCGCATGACGTTTTGGCCGGTAACCTGATTTTATTAAGCAAGACGTTTTTGTGCTTAAGCAAATTTTGTGCTTAAGCAGCTCTATGAAATTGGCCCCGGTTCCTAGTAAATTATGCTAGGGAGTTGGGGTTAAAGTCAATTTTAATAATACTTGCATGGCAAATTACCCAAGCTAGGTGTAACAGGGACACAAACCAATATCACACTTTTGGACCGCAGATTTATGGAATGATCTAAGATCAGTTCATAGTCTGCAAAAACGTAAATGCAAATTTATGCAAATTTGTAACATTACAGCAAGTATATGCGCTGCAAATTTGCATGAAACGAATTCAAACAATGAAGTTGGTCACGGTTTGATTGATGGCAAAATATTTGTGTTACGTTAATATTAAAAACATACCTAGCTAAACGTTTTTATTACTTGAGAAACAAACGTTGGGGAAGTTCCATAAATGTACGTCCGACCACATGGTCTGTAGTTGTTTACTACTCATTAGATGTCACATTATTAATGATGTATCACATTCACGTTTCCAACAGCAGCTCATTAAAGTGTCTGACTTATACGTCCGAATTTACGGGATTGCCCGTTTGCAAATTGTGATTTGCTTTCAAACATGAATTAAAAATGAAAAAATACCCTTTAAAAGAAAATTTTAAGTTTTAATGATCCCCCATGGTGACATTTATTCAGGTATGCTGATCGTCGGTTTCATCCTTCGCAACGTCCCGCGCATCAACATCGCCGTGGATATTGACAAGGAGTGGTCGTCGGGACTCCGGAGCGTGGCGCTGGTCGTGATCCTGATGCAGGCCGGTCTGGGGCTGGACGCCAAGGCGTTACGGAGCCTGAGCATGGTGTGCGTCCGGCTGTGCTTCTTGCCGTGTCTGGTGGAGGCCTGCGTGGCTGGGGTGGTGTCGCACTTCCTACTTGGTTTACCATGGGTTTGGGGCTTTATGTTGGGGTAAGGGTAGATTTTGTTTTGTATTTTAATGCTAGTCTCCATTTACAAGCCTTAAAAGTCTCCCAAGGTAGGGCTGCTTAAAGCTATAGTCCATCATTTGTAATTTGTGCATTTTGTTCGTTTGAAGCAACAAAAGGGTTCGAAATCTAATGAAGGATACTGAACAACTAACCTGATGAAGTTTCAGCTAAGCTTCAGCTGTACATATCGAGAAAAACAGCATTCTAAGATCTCAATTTCAAATCAAAAGTTACTGAATCATGTTTTGAATTGTTTTGAATTGCAGCCATACGCGACGTAGCGCACTGATCCGACGAATTATAACAACCGCGCGCGCGTGTGCGTCGTTCCAATACTTGTGTGCGCTGCGCTGAATAACAAAATGAACTACAATTTAAATTTTCCTACGGAGCTTCTTAAGAATCACCGTTGGAAATGCCTTTTTCGTTGATTACTTCAAAATGACAGCTTCCCAGAAGGAATAATTTCACAGGAAGTTTAGTTCCCTTACTACCTTTCAACCAAGTTTGTTTTTCAACAATAATTACGCCAGTTACTTTTTTGGATAGCTGCAAATGATGGACTCCGGCTTTAACACAAGCTAGTCACCAACAGTCAGATCATGTTTCAAGCAAGCACTGTGACTAGTCAAATTCCATCAACTGACAAAAGCAGGCGACTGGTGGGCACAGCCAGCTTATCAATCTCCTACAGTCAAAGTACAGCTGTTATCAGGTTTCATAACAATCACAGCCAGTCAATCCTGCGTTATGAAGGCAGGGAGCACTCAACTGTTACAAACAGTCACTTGATTTATTTTGACTGCTGGGCTGGCCTTGTTGAAATTGCCAGCCACAGGCGAGGGTTAAATTAAATGGATTGGCCAAATTTCATCATTTTCTTTAAATTCTGTTTTTTCTTCCAGCTTTGTTCTCGGCGCAGTCACACCGGCCGTGATCGTCCCTTCATTGCTGTCCCTCCAGAAGCGAGGTTACGGTATCGATAAGGGCATTCCTACGTTAGTGATCGCGGCGGCAAGCTGTGATGACGTCCTTGCAATAAGTGCCTTCGGAGTGATACTGGGTGCTGCCTTTGCAACAGGTATGGGAAAATCTTGGGAAAAAATCGTGGAATTTAAAGCTATCTTGGAAAGTCATGGAAAGTTAATATTCCAAGAAAAAACTCACAAAAAAAGGTGTGCGTCCTTTCAGCAAAACGAAAACAATTCACACACATCCCCATGTGATTTGTTTTCGTTTTGCTGAAAGAACACTTACCTTCTTGTGATACGTGGACAGAACTTTAAAACGGTGGTTGTGTTTAAAAATCGTTAACATGAAAAGTACATGAGTGATTTGAATGATTCTTGTACTAAAAGAAAGCATATGAATTGGGCTTTCATATCCTAGATTTTGAAAGTGCTACATGTAGAACAATGGTCCCGACACTTGGGTTTCGTTTTTTTTTTTACTCACCCTGTATTTCCTCTTTATGCATGTGCTCTATACATGCTTGGGAAGTGTGTGGCCTAGTGGTTAGGGTTCGTGACTCATGATCAGAGGGTCCGGGGTTCGAATCCAGCTGGTCATATATTGTGTCCTTGGGCAAGCCACTTCACCCCCACTTGCCTCTCTCCACCCAGGAGTATAAATGGGTACTGGCATTAGCTGGGGAGTAACCTGCGATGGACTGGCATCCCATCCAGGGGGAATAGAAATATTCTCAGTCGTTTCATGCTACTGAAACCAGAGATGAACGCTGGCCTGATGGGCCACATTGGCTCACAACAGACTTTACTACTACAAATGCTAGGAATGTGGTGATAAGAGGCCTTGTAAGTGTTTAATGACACCTAAGTTGAACATGAAAAAGTAGGAGGATTGCTATCAGGGGAGGTGGGGGCCATCTTATGGTAACGCACACTGCATAGATCATTGTTTTCAGTGTGATGACTGGCCAGTGTATTGTAAATAGGCTCCTAAGATGCCAAAACAGCTCAAGAATTGGTCATGGAAAGCCTTAATTTTGTCCTGGAAAAGTCACGGAAAAGTCATTGAATTTCATTTTAAGATTTCTGCTGAAACCCATTACATAATTTCCCGGCGTGATGTTTTTTTTTACACCCAATAGACTTTATTCACGAGAAGGCCATATTGAATTGAAAGCGAATTAAATTCATCATTTTTGGAACTTGCGAGTCGAAATAAAAACAATGAAATAAAAGTGTTCATTACAAATTAATACCAGTCTGCTCTGATAAATAATTTTAAATTTGTGATTTAAACATACCCTAATGTTTTAAACCACATTTAAAAAAAAAAAATTTGAAAGTGAGGCTTGGCGTGCACTCCAATCATCAAATAGTCTGGCACCATCCCATTCAACAGTTTACAATTTATAAAATAGATTCAGGGAACACAACCAAAATGGCTTTCTCTTGAATAAGGTCCATGGGTGCAAAATGGCAGCCAAGGCGAAGTTGTGGATCTTTCCTTGTTCATAAGATTTTATGCAATACATTTGCCTTTTCTCTTGTCAAGGTGATCTTGTCTACAATATTCTACGAGGGCCACTGGAGTTGGTCGTCGGTGTTGCGTTTGGCTGTCTCGGTGGGGTAGTTCTGTGGTACCTACCAGACCGGTTTCAGGTAAGGACAGGGGCGTAGCAAGGTCATTTTTATTGGGGTGGGGGGTGGTGATAATTTCATGAAAAGGGCACTTGCACATCCGTGCTGAAATGTAAACATGTTTGTTTTTTTTCGTAAAATCAATTGGGGGGGGGGGGATGGAAGCATTTGTTGATGGGGACGCTGTTCAGAACTGACGATCATGCACACTAACGAACAATGGTGCTTTTCAGGGCGAAACATGAGCCCAAATTTTTTAAAAGGGAACCTATAACGGCCGATGGCACAATAAAGGCGACAACTTTTTTTTTTTTTTTTAAAGGGCACTTGGTGAGGAAAAGGCACTTGTTAACAAAAGAAGGGCACTCTTCTGGTGAAAAAAAGGGGCATTTGAATGGAAAAGGGCAGTCTATAAAAAATATGGGGAAGGTTTTTTGGGTCGTAAAGACATTTTGAAGCATACGCATATGTATTTCCAGCGGTGATTATAAGTGTCCTTCTTGGACGTTGTCCCTAGCTTCTGTGACCATGATGTCAGACGATTTAATGTTAAGTACACGTCTGCTGTGTGTGTACCGTATATTCACATAATGTACAAGTACTCACAGCACCAATACACATACGTTGTTTCTTGCACACACAGTCATTTCTTTGTTCTTGTGTACAAACATTTTTAAGGTTTGAAAATCTAGTTTCAAAATGCTCCTATTTTAACCAGAATTAATTTCCTGAGCTGAAATTCGAACTTAATATCCCTTACATAAAATACTCCAATTTGCGACCGATCAACACACCTTGGAAATTCCTAGTTTTTTAGTAAAATCCATATATCTATTTCGTGATAATCTTGTGGAGACGTATTCACCTATAGAAATTGCTCTGTGGAGACGAATTCAATCTTTTGTTCCCTATTATACGCATGTCTCCGTAAGGTAGTGAATTACAAAAAAAACATGTTGTTTCCCGTTCATCTGCTGAATGTGATGCACTGGTAGAATACGTGCGAATGGAACACGACTAGCACCCAAACAGCTCGAGTTTTGAGAGTCAAAGTTTTAGCAATTTTTTTCTCTGATTTATCCAAATTTCCAGAATGCATTTGTTCTGCGACGCACCGTGCTGCTATTTGGTGGGGGGCTTTTTGCCGTCTTCGGCAGTGCTGCAGTGAAGTTTTCCGGTGCGGGAGCCCTCGGTTGCCTGACGATGGCGTTTGTAGCCGGACATGGCTGGAAAAAGAATAAGGTTCGTTCATTTGTTCAGAAAAGTAACAACAAATAATTACTTAGAAATGTAAAAAAAAAATATCTCTAACCTTGCTCTTTAACATACTCAAATGGTTGTTTTTTTCTCCTAACAAATTTTTGATTTGCATGTTTTGTGGTTCATGCTCATGGCGTCAAGTACACACCACTAATTTTATTTTAAATGTACATAAACTAATAGCGTCTTCACGTGAGCGTCAGACGTCGTCAGCAATGCATTTGAATGTCTCTCCCAGTGGTCTCCCCCAACTCTCCCTTTCTTACCGTTGAGGGGGTGCTTATGCATGGAGTCTATAGGTCCACATATTTCTACATTGTTGAACAACTGTTGTGCAGATTGCTGCATTATTGTTATCATAATTTACATGCTTGTTTTGTTTATAGGAGCCTATTGTGAAGAACATTGATTTGCTGTGGATCATCTTTGAACCCTTGCTGTTCGGTCTGATTGGTGCAGAAGTTGCCATAGAAACAGTGCAGCCAGCTACCATTGGTAAGTCAATAATGCCGACATTGTATTTTCAATTTTTTTTTCCTTCACCGACACATTTTTTTTAAAAACACTGTATGCTGTTGTCCAAGGGCTTGCTACAAAAATTCACAAGCGTACTCGGGTGGGACTCGAACCTACGACCTCCTGCTTACTAGTGCAGACGTCTTACTTGACCACTGAGCTTCGTAACCACTTGTCCTTACTCGTATGAAGTGAAGCACACACATGTTTTTTTCCGTCTTCGCTTGAGCATCGGGTGTCTTCAGCAATGTTTGAATGTCTCTCCCAGTGGTCTCCCCCAACTCTCCCTTTCTCACCGTTGAGGGGGTACTTGTGCACGGAGCCCATAGCCTGGATGACAGTCCTGTTTGACTTCTTGTTTTTCTTGTCATTAGGGCTTGGCCTGGCAACGCTGTTCATCGGGCTGGCCGCCAGGCTACTTGCGTCGTTCCTAGCCGTCTGCAGAGCAAAGATGAATCTGAAGGAGAAGTTGTTTATCGCCCTCGCTTGGCTGCCTAAAGCAACTGTACAGGTATGAGACCGCTAACTCGTTGATCAAAACAAGACTAGGCAAGTCTAGTAAAGCTGGTCCCAGAGTGCACAAACATTCTATTCAATTTGGCGATTCACAATGCAGTGCGCCACCAAGAGCTTGCCATGGAGAGTTCAGTTTTCAAGTTTACGGTCGACAAAACATGGCCCATTTGATTGAGTGTCAGTAGGCAACTTGAGCTAATTTGTGAAGGATTGGGGCATAGCGTTCTGCCGCCTTACAAAAAACACCATATTGATCAAAAGAAAAGTAAAGGGCAAACAGATCCTCGAATCATACGCTTACGAAACTACTGATCGGACAAACTTACAATTTCAAATAGCCCGTGCTGTCAATTGTCGACCATCTCCCACAATGCACTGGGAAAAAATGAACTCTCCGTGGTAAACTCTTGGTGGCGCACTGCATTGTGAATCGCCCGAATTGATACAGAATTCCAATTCACTCGAACACAATCTTTTCATTAAGATAGAAGTAGTGCTGCTAAATTATTTCAATAAACTTGATATTTTTATTGCTATACCCCCTGCCCCTTCTCCCCCCCCCCCAAAAAAAATTTGATGTCCAAGCACAAAATATGACCCATTCCAGTGGAAAAATCTAAAACATAAGTTTGAAAAGCCAAGTATTTTTTTTATTTGTTTAAATATAAACAAATGTTTCAATTTACATAATTTGACAGGCGGCGATCGGACCAGTGGCCCTGGACACAGCGATCAAGCACGGATCTGGAGAGTACATAGAGCTAGGAACACAGGTCAGTTTAGCTCCTAAAATCTCTTTGTTTTTAAAGGGAATATACAACATTTGCAAACATCGAAAAATAAATAAGTTTTTACGAAATACCTTACTAGGATGTTGGTAAATGACAGTCACAAGCATTCTGTAAAATTACGGCACCTGGTGTGAAGTCATTTTCAAGAAAATGGTATTTTTGTATACATTTCCAACGGTGGTCAGCTGACCACCGTTGGAAAAACCTAACTATTGTTCAACTACTGCTCCATATTTGTTTCAGTTCAAATTGTGTTTGCTATTGGTTACATGTTCATGAATGGGTGCAGGCCAGCTAGACTGGTTCCCTTACCTTACAATTTTCCGGCATCTATAAATTTATCCATTTCATCTTTAGTGGAGTCAGGGAACCAGACTACTTGAACATTTTTGTTTTTCTTGTTTTTTTCGAGCATTTTCGGACACAAAACTTCAAACATGTCAGTGTAACAATATTTGATCTATTATACTAACCCCTCAACTAGTTCATTTCTGAAAATGACAGTGAAAGCCAATGAAGTTCATTCCCTTTAAAAGTTTACATTTGATATTAAACCTTGGTGATTATGACATTCAGGACATTACTTTGCCAGAGGGTGATATTACCATATTTGTCTGAAGAAAAAAGTGGATGTGCTAAGTTTATTTTTGTACTGTAAATGCATTCAAAGTTACACAATGCCTGAATAAATCCTCGTCATCTGATTGGGGTCGTTGATCACATGTCATTGAATTATTCGTCCAACCCACGGCCTGAAAGCACCGCAATAATAGAAGTTCCATTCCATGGTAAAAAGAAGTTTCATTGCATGGTCACACTATTTCCAATCAGATGACGAGGATTTACTCGGGCATGGCATATACTAATGATGAATGCTTATGAGTGCAATGGTAAGAATAATTTCATGAGGTGACAGATGGAATGTTCCATTTCACAAGACGAAGCCGAGTGGAATGGAACATTTCATCTGTCACCTAATGAAATTATTCTTACCAATCATGAATGCTTATGAGTGCAATGGTAAGAATAATTTCTTGAGGTGACAGATGGAATGTTCCATTTCACAAGATGAAGCTGAGTGAAATGGAACATTCCATCTGTCACCTCTTGAAATTATTCTTACCATTGCACTCATAAACATTCATTGTTTGTATATTGTGAAGAAATTTAACTCTCTGCATGACAAAACACAATGAATTAATCTATTAAGCCCCTCCCCTTTTGAATAATTCACATTTTGACCAATCACAGCTTAGTTTGTGCTACCACATGCCCGACAAAAGCCGACATTTAAAAATAAAACTATCTGGCACATGAAATAAATATTTATCTATTTTTCATTTCTGACCTTTGTTTTTTGTTTCAGCTGTTGACCGTTGCAGTTCTCTCAATCCTGGTTACGGCTCCGCTGGGGGCTATCGCCATAGCGCTGGCCGGGCCCCGCCTACTCAGCAAATCCATCAATGAAAAGCCCAGAGACAACAACAACCGCCGACCAATCATCCATCTGGTACCTATAGGGACACCCCCCGAGAGCGAGGTAGTCGAACTATCCCCCGTCAGCCCGGAACCCGATCGTTCCAATCCACTAAATAGGTTGGTTGCGGTTGTTGAAAGCGACGATAAAGTTTGAAGAAATGAATTGACTTGAGACTACTTAACGAGAAGGACTAAGCTTTTGACCCATCATACATCTGGTAGGGACACCCCTGAGAGCGAGGTAGTGGAACTATCCCCTGTCAGCCCGGAACCCGATCGTTCCAATCCACTAAATAGGTTGGATGCGGTTGTTGAAAGTGACGATAAAGTTTGAAGAAATGAATTGACTTGAGACTACGTAACAAGAAGGACCAAGCTGTTGACCCATCATACATCTGGTAGGGACACCCCTGAGAGCGAGGTAGTGGAACTATCCCCTGCCCGGAACTGGATCGTTCCAATCCACTAAATGGGGGGTTGCGGTTGTTGAAAGCGACGATTAAGTTTGAAGGAGTAGATTGACTTGAGACTATTTAACAAGAATTAAAGGACCAAGCTGTTGACCCGTCATCCATGTGGTAGGAACACCCCCCGTGATGGAGGTGGACGAACTATCCCTGTCAGCCTGAACTGGATCATTCCATTCCACTAAGTAAGGGAGCTACGGATGCTGGAAACGACGATAAAGTTTGAAGGAATATATTTGCGACTACTTAAGAACAGGACAAGAGGTGTTTACCCGTCATCCATCTGGTAGGGACACCCCCCCGAGAGGGAGGTAGTCAACTGTGCCCCATCTCCCTAGAGCTGGATCATTCCAATCCACTTAAAAGGGGAGCTATGGCTGCTGAAAATGATAAAGTTTGAAGGAATAGATCGAGTAGTGACTACGTAATGAGAGGACCAAAGACAAGAGCTGATGACCAATCATCAATCTGGTAGGGACACCCCCGAGAACGAGATGGTTGAACTATCCCCTGTCAGCCCAGAACTGGATCATTCCAATCCGCTAAATAGGGCAGCTACAGCTGCTGAAAGTGAAGATAAGGTTTTTAAGGACTACATTGAATTGCAACTACTGAATGAGAAAGAAGCCAAGGACAAGAGCTGTTGACCCGTCTTCCATCTGATAGGAACACCCCCAAGAGTGAGGTAATGGAACTGTCCCCTGTAGTGTAAGCCCAGAGATGGGTCATTCCATTCCATAAAATAGGGGAGCTGCAATTTTCTTCGTTACAACAAAGTTTAAAGAAATATTTTGCTAAAAATTACCCTGTAAATGAGGAGGGGGAAAAATAGAATTTATGAGGTTTGTTGAACTTAAATAATAGGTAGACAGGGTATCAAAAAATAAACCACCAGTTTTAAACTTGAAAAGAGCAATACACAAATTTGACGTTTTAATCAACTTTTGATTTCAAACCCCTTCCTTGATAGTGGCCAAATTATTCCAGCATTGTTTTTCATAGGTCGGAACATTCCATCTTATTAAAGATGGGTGTTGGGATTTTAATTATTTTCACTGATGGGAAAAAATGAAGTTATTCATCAAATTCATAAAAAAAGTGTATATATAATTTGCATTCAAATTTTCTCCATATATAACTTTTTAGAAAAGTATTCATAGATGTTCAGGAAAAGTCATACAGTACTCTGCACGAAGAAATACTTTTTGTGGTTTTTTTTTTATGAAGAACACATTCTTTGAATTCAAATACAACTTCCTAGGAATTTTTGCGGTTTTGTTCATTTCTTAATTTTACACATATGTAAATTGATTCATATCATTAAGCGATTGAATATTGTTTCACAGCTTAAAGGGAAAATACAACATTTGCAAACATCAAAAAATAAAACTACCAAATCATTTTGAAATACCTTGCTGGACTGTTAGTGAATGACAGTGTAAAGCATCCTGTAAAATCATGGCACCTTGTATACTGTCATTTTCAAGAAAAGTGGTATTTTTGTATCAATTTCCAACGCTGATCGGCCGATCAGCGTTGGAAAAAACTGGCTTTTTTTCAAATATTGGCACCAATTGACCATCGCACTTGTTTTCAATCGATTACAAACCTATGAACGGGTACGAGCCAGCTAGACTGGTTCCCTGACCTTACAATTCCCCAATGTATGTAAACTGCTCTGTTTCTTCTTATATGGAGTCAGGGAGCCAGACTACAGGAAAATGATGGTTTTTCTTGGTTTTTATAGCATTTTCGAACCCAAAACCTCCAAAAAGTCAGTGTAACTATATTTGCTTTATATTTCCAACCCCCCAATTCCATCCATTTCTGAAAATTACAACAAAAGCAAATGATGTATATTCCCTTTAAAATGTGCAGGATTCTACAGACAAATGTGGCGGCAGACATTTTCTGCGATGGCGCAAGGCTCGTGCGAGTCACTCTCGGGTAGTACACACGCACTCCAGGCACCTTCGACCAATCGGAATACCAAAATGCGCATGCGCCTCGTTTTTAACAACGCGTGCAGCATGCGCATGAGCGTGACACCACCGCAGTAAAAGCTTCTAAGTCAGGTCGCCGGATTCCACTATAATCCAGTGTAAGCACATTGTCAGTTCTATGACGAAGGCCCCCTTTAATGGCGAAAGCATTGTGCTAGCTATTGTCCAGATGATCCGTCACACGGCAGTTGCTTTGTACAATAGCGTGCACAATGGTTTCTCCATTGAAGGGGGCCTCGTGAGTGTCTGGTGGTCACGTGCCCACCCTGATTATTACTTCTCTTCCTGATAGTCTTCCTTATTCTACAGTGTTCTACCCAGCAAGTATAAGTATACCTAACTTTTACTTACTTTTTTACTTGTTTTACATTGTGTTGTCTAAAATTTTAAATTTCTTTTAAAACTGAGTCATGAGATTATAATTTAAGTGTGTGTATATAACTGACGTACAGATCCTTGTCATTTGATTGGTGGAACTCACATCACGTGACATTCATTATTGCTGCCATTCACAACGCTTAACGGGGCTCAAAAAGTCCCATTCGCCCTTGGGCAATGGGATTTACTGTTCAACAGTTAGGATCATCCTTGCTCCATGGTGCGGTATTTTGTGTGCAAATGTATGCTGGTGTGCGCGTTCAGCGTTGCGCGTAGCGCGTATTGTTCCAAAGAGCCAGCGTTACAGAGTTGGGTTCAAACAGTTTTATTAAAGGGGTGGTTTGGAAGAGCGAAATGCATTTTCCACCAGTTTTGTAGTGAAATAAAAGATCAAATATGTCGAATGACAAGGATCTGTATGTCAGTTATATAAAACAAATATTCAGTGGTTATAAATTGTGAAATGGGAGGAATGTTATGGCTCGGTAAAATCTGGACTTTGCCATTTCACTCAGCTTCCCTTCTAGTCTTCTACACTTGACAATCCTTCAAGATTTTGCCAACATATTGACCACCCCCCCCCCCTCAAAAAAAACAGTAAACGGTTAGGCCAAAAAAAAAAGTCTCTGGTTTCTGGTATGGAGCTTGCCCAAAAAGTGGTGCGGCGACGCGGCCTTTTTTTTTTTTTACCTGATTTTTTTTGCTTCAAATGTCGGCTGATGACTGCAAATGGTGCCTGACTGAACTTAGTGCAAATATATGGGAGTCCAGAGAGGCCACATAAAGCTTATTCTCGACCATACATGTAACCCAATCTAAAAACACGTTAAAATTGTGCAGCAGCAGGATTCCAGTCAAACCAGTGAGTTTGGCGGTTTTGAGACATCATCTTTCATTGAAAAAAAAACTATTTCATTTTGCTGACGCGCATGGCTACGGCGACGCGCGTGCATACCAGAAACCGGAGAATTTTTGGGGGGGGGCCTTATTTATGATTAAGTGATTGAGATATTTACTATAAACTTGTTTAACGATTTCAAGCATTAATTGAATGAATCACACAGAATACGAAGCAGAGTTAAAATGAAATTATTGTTTCTTGATTATATTTTGATTCAATGAGTAAAGATTATATTTTAGTTTAACAATATGAAAAAGAAACAATTATCCAACTACAAAATTACGACTTATTTTTTAACTTGCACATAATTTGAGTAAAGCAATGGCCTTGAAAACTTAGATTCTTTTCTTGAGAAAAGTGTAAATTCTTCTAAAATGTGGTATGTAGTGACAGAATATACTTTTGTATTTGTCATAAACCAACATCTTGTACTAAACAATTTAATACCTCAATTTAGAGTATTCTTTAAATTCTATATATTAGTCATTCTTTATTTACAAATTTTATTGTACTTTCTTTCTTTCACTGTACTTTTTCTATCAGATGTTTAAACTAACTTCCATATTGTCCATGTATATAGCAATACTATAACATGAAATCAGAAGAAGTGATTTTACTTAAAGTTTATCAACTTGTGTGAGCTGTAACTTCATGCTTAATTCATTGATGTATTCAAATTCCTCTATAAAAGCTTTTGTATTTTCTGTTAGAACTTTGTAAATGAAATGTAACTTTGTATATACATGTATAACATTAACCCCAACCTTCCCAAATCCTCCAAAATCCGCTTTGCAAAATGTTGGATTTTGCAGGATTGAGGCTACATGGCAAAAAGGTGTTACTGATTTCGGAGGATGCGCTGTGTCAAGGTTTTGGGCCGGACCGTGTGTTGTTTATGCTCAGCCTTGCATAAATGTAGCCTTGATTATACTTGAAATCCTCCGCACTGCTCCAGGATGTCACTGGCTCTGCCTCGACATATTGACAGTGATTGCTGAAGGATTTTGCAGGATTGAGGCAGTGGTCACCCCTCCAAGGACCACATTCAAGAAATATAAGGATTTTTCAGGATTGAGGCTGTATGCAACTTTTGCATGGAGGCAGTTAAAAGGATTTTGCAGGATTGAGGTTACGTCCTAGCAAAGATACCTACGGAATTAGGGTTAATCGTTAATTATAGTACTGATGGTTCATATACATGTACTAATATACAGCCTATATGAAGACAAACCCACCTTTTACATAATTTTTGTAAATGAAATTTACCGGGAATTCATCATGCTACGTGTACTTTGTGAATAAAAAATTGTACAGGCAAACAAAACTACCTTGTCAACTTTCTGAAGAATTTCAATTGCTGTATAGTTATTCGTGCATGTGAAGAATATGTTTCAAATAATAAAAGTTTCAAAAAAGCCTCATACAGGTACATGTACATGTATAGATCAATCTGGCACGCTAGTAATTCTATCACGGAGTAGGTCCCCTTCAATGGCGAAAGCGTTGTGCTAGCTTAACTAGTCCGTCACGGGGCAGAAGAATTGCAATTGCTGTACGCTCATGCATGTGAAGAATATGTTCCGAGTAAAAAAGGTTCAAAAAAGCCTCAT